ACGTAAAATTTGTGGATGTTACACAACCTAAACGAGAATCGAAGGTCTCGTCAATAGTAGTACAACGGTAAAAGACTGACGAAAACGAACATCCAATGAAGAAGTTATGAATTTTTAACAGATTTTCTTGTCCCGGTCTATTAAAAATAATAATATTAAAAATAAATTTAAAATTAGCCAACGGATCCTAAACGAAAGTTGTAGAATATATTCTCGCCTACGCGTGCATATAAAGAACGTCAAAAATGGAGCACGTATGCAAAAGTTGTGCATTTTAGAAGTTCGGAGCACAATTTCCGAAAAATTTCGCATGGATAAGGTTCAACCACGTCACCCTCACGTGCAAGCTCGCCCTGTGTCTGATGCTGATGAATCATCTGAAGCAACAACTAATGTGTGTCACACCCTCCTCGCACCGAAGGCTCGGCCAACCAGAAGCTGACGCGTGCCTTCCCCGTGTCTCGCCTTCGCACTGCCACCTCCCCCCCCCCCCCCCCCCCGCATGCGAGCCAAGTGCTTGCTTTTCCTTGCTTCGGATCCAAGGCTCGCATCTATATATAGGAGGTGCGAAACCTCCCGGGTAACTTTAGAAATTTCACACTTTTTACCCCTAAATCCAATTTTTAGCTATTTCAAATTCCCCCGCACCCCCGAGATCATTCCCAACACTTGAAACAAGCCCCGAATTGCCCGAAGAGCCTGAGAAATTTATCTTTTTGTTTTGAAGCTTAACCTTCGCAAGACCCGATTTTCAATAAAGCTCCTAGTTTTCAACGAAGAAAGCTATTTATTATAATGAAATGCTGCATAAATTAATATTATAATCCCCGATTAATTCAAGGTGAGTTCAATATATAGTAACAATTGTATGTTATGTGTTATATGTGCTATGTGATTTTCTTTTGTTATTATTTCTGCTATTTATGATAGGAAAGCTATACCTTTAGCCATGTGATCAGTGAAAGGACTTAGATTGACAGTGGTATTGGTATGTAGTCTGTGGCCATGTAGAGCATGTCTCGTAAGAGAATGACTTCTATTCTATGGCAGTGGCAGAAGGTTAGACAACGCTGAAAACCTGAAATCTACCAAAATGTTTAATCAGAAAATGTATATCTTTTGTTCCATTTTGGTTGAAGCTCTATTGATGTTTATCAAGTATTGAAATTGTTATGTCTCATTGATTGTATATTTTTTAAATCACATCATCGATTGATATGGAAATCTTGTCACATGATTCACATATGTATTTGTTGTTTCTTGTTCCCTTTTTGCTTCTTCCATATTGAAGTATATATATGGCATAACATTATATTATATCTATTATTGCACTCATTAAGCGTCACCGCTTACCCCTCTCAATGTTTAACAATTACAGGCAATAGGCAACCAGTAAAATTATATACTGATAGAAGACTTTAAATAGTTTGAAACTATTGTATTTAGTAATTATGTATGTATAGAAGTATAGTATCCTGGGTAGTTTTATAATATATAATACTTTGTAATAGTCGGTTTGTATCCAGTTGTTTTGTAATCACTTTATCAATGTAAAATATTGTTTTGATGAATATGCATGTACCATGTTTTGGAGTAACAATTGTCAAATATGAAAGTGTGGGTCTTTCGTCAGGCTATATTAATCCTAGATATATTTACATAACTGTCTTGGCTTAATCACGATGTTCAACTCTTCTAAAAACTTTTTCTTTGTTTCCTAGTATGACACTATTCCTAATATGCATGCATGTATGTATACTTTTATAAAATACTTATATTTTAAAGTATACTTTTTCGTTAGAGTGCTTTAGTCCCATTTTATTTATAGTTGTATATCTTAAATGGTTTGATATACTTAGTTCACTATAAACAATGCTCTGATATCAAGTTGTCACACCCCCGAACAGGAATAGCGAAAACCTCCGACGGCGGATTACTGCATGTACAGTATTATAACAATTGAATATATAAATGATACAAGTATCACAACCATTACATTGATTATAAATAAATTACATGAACTTCAAAGCATTTTTTACATAGCATCAAATGCATGTGACAAAAAGTAAATGGCGTATTGTGACACCATCCCATATCCAAAAAGATAATCACTTGCAGTCAGCAGTTACTGATTTCATGAGAATATAAGTGATTTTGAAAATGTGTCAACATTTAAGCTGGTGAGTTCATAAGAATTTTTGTATGAAAAGGGTTTGTAATTGTTTCATGAAATTGATAGAGTATACTTCCAGAAAATCTAATATTTTATTATAAAACGAAGGAGTCTAAAATGTAAGTAATGGTTTACTGAAAAGAAATGTTTATGAAGTTTTATCTATAAGTAAAAATATTTGAATGTATGTTAACCCGTAAATCACATGTTATATTGATACCATATGTGAGTTTCTATGACCATACTAATACGACCAGTGGCCTGAATGTTGTGCTTCGGGCGTCGGAAATGTTAGAATAGTTTTCACCCCAAACTTGTTGGTCGAACTATAGCTAACCATTTAGGTGCATGGTTGTCAATCCCGTATAGATCTATACACAAGTGTCGCACTCTCCTTGCAGGAGACTCTGATTACAACTCAAGACTTAATGTGTACTCTGGTGGGTACGGTGAAGCTAAATGTCTCACAACTAGTATCAGCTGATTTACTTGGACTGGAAACTCCTTTTTATTGTAAATGAAATAATTATGCCTTAAATGATTATTTGTTTAGTCTGGCAATATAGTGTAATTTTTGTAATTCCCAAACTATACAAATTATAGTTTATTATGAATTCTTTGTTATGTCCATTTATATAATCTTCCTGATATGTATAAGTTCACATGTCTAGGTGTTTCAAATGATTATTTCATATAAACATACGCCTAGCATAATTTTGAAAACATCTAGTTCAGGAAAGTAAATATTTAGTTTTTGATCTTTCTTAACGATATTTACCGGTAACTAGTAAAATATAATCTAGGAAAACTTATTGTTATGCTTTTTGGGGGTTTTAACCTAGATTAACCTCATGTGGTTTCAATCATATATTTTAGTAAAAAAATCCATAAAAATGATATCATAAACACGTTATGACCACTTTTGTTTAAAAACCCATTTTTACATAAAATAATAGACTTTTGTGTTTCTTTTTGTAAAACTAATTTCTAGTTATTTTTGTCTAGATTTAGAAACACAGGTCCAAACACAAGACAATTTGGGTTATAACACTCAAGATGGTAAAATAACTAGTTCATATCTATATTTATGAAAAGAATGTTTTGTCCCTAATAGATTAGCTTTTGTGTTTTTGAAGTAAAACTTTTTCTAAGGAACATAACACATAGTTATGCTAGGTTATCATAGTTTTGCATCTGAATATTTACATACCACAAATAAGGGTTCTGAAATCTAGTTATATTCACATTTTATGTTCATAATATGGATTAAAAAACAAAATTATAAAACATGCAACCATTTGTGTCAAAAACTAACTTTTCTATTATTCCCCCTCTCCCCCCCCCCCCCCCCCCCGCGCTCACCCATAAAAACATGAAAAATCTCGAAAATGGGGATATGAACTCACCTTGAATGGTTTTTGTGTGTAACTTGAAGTGATGTGAAGAAGATTTCAAGCCTAAATCTTGAAGGGACTTTATGAACTTCTTGGAAAGGTTAATATCCTAAGAATTTTACACATAATAATGTGTGTAAAAATGATGAAACTAACATAAAATTGCAAAGAAACACTAGAGGTTCACAAAATATCTTACCAAAAACCTTAGGACCAGCTTGGAGATGGTGATTCTTAGGAGAAATCGGACTTGTTCTAGAGAGAAGGAAGAAGTTGAAGTAAGAAGAAAGTGGTAAGAGTGGGAAAAACCCACTCTCGACCGAGGATTAAATGGGGGAGGGAGAAGATTCCTCTCTAGTTATTTGTTTGTTATTTACATGCCTTGCATGGAGACTTGGGGGTTACTTGCATGATAAACATGGAGGTATGGTGGTTAAAAAGATGTAAAGGTGAGGTGTTATCTCACAAAGTCAACATTTCGGATTTTACACCCAACCAAGATCCTCTTACCGAGGAGGATTTCTCGGTCTAAGATGCAACTGGGATCACGAGGAATTTTGGTGCTAGTTTGACCAAGAATTGGGAGTTTTCGGTCCAGCCTTGTAGCCTCGCATGGGTTTTCGGTTGGGGAAGGTTCTCACCCAAGAGGCTTTTCGGTCTTGAAGGATCTTGGTCCAAACATACTTTATTCTTTATGTAATTGAAATTTTTCGAAATCCTTGATCTATCTCACTAATTTTTTAAAATTTTAATATAATAGAATTGTAATGTGGTTTCTACATTATGCATAGCTACTCTTTGCTTGGTCCGAAATTCTCTAGTTGTCACATCCTCTACCAAGAGGGTTTTGATAATAGTGGGTTATTTTTTGATTGCTCGGAGTCATAGAATTGAATTTCTTACATTTTCATCAAACTCACATTCATGGTCATCTTCAAACTAGTCTTCAAGATCATATTATCTTCCAATTTGTCGAAAAAGTTCAATTTCCTCATCCAATGTATCATCTCAGAGTTGGAAGTCTGAGATTGGTGCCCATAAAGGATTCATTTGACTCAATTCTCCACTCTTGCATAGGAAGGCCCTACTTCTAATGTAAGCAACACATCAGGATTCAAATCATCAAAATTTTCAAACACATGTGGGAATCTCATATTGATTTGCTTGGTAAGCTTGTCATATGCATTAGTCTTTGGAGATTAGGCTTTGAGGGTGATAGAAGTTTCTTCCATGATAGGAGAACCTCATCAAACTTGTGATTCAGAGTGTCCAAAAAATGTTGTGCCGACCGAATAAAATTGATTAGCACCTCTTGGATTATCATATTCATTCCATCTTTCTATTTAATTTCCTTCCCCAATATTTTAATTTTTTTTTCGTGTGGGACATGTGTCTGCTTGATGTGTTCATTTTTTACCAGACATCATGTCATCCTAAATCTTGATCATTGTAGAGGTAGTGGAGATATGATGGTCTAGATTTTCTTTGTATCTTTCATCGGCTTCTTCGAGGGTATGCTTTAACAGAAGAAAAATGTGTAGATCCAATTGATTGGCTCTTTCATGCTCCAAGGGAGTAGCAACCTTGATCTCGGAAAGAGGTTTGAGCACCAAATCGATTTTTGAGTCAAGTGATTCGAAGTAGGTATTGACATTATCGACTTTAGAATTAAAATTTTCAGCATCTGCTTGGAGCTCCAAGAGAGCGAAAGGATAAACAACTTGTTCATCAGAGGATCTTGTGTCTGAGCTGGAGCTTTCGGATCTTTTGTCACCATCTTCATCATTATCATCAGAATCATCACCTTGATCACCATCCTTAACCTCATTATTCTTTTCTTCCGAGGATGAGGGTAATCGAAAGTCATTTTGAACATTAGATCATTGGATGTGTATGGTATGAAAAAAGGAAACACATTTTTTACGGGAAGAGTAAAATCATCTTTAAACATCATTCAAACTTGTTTTCAATAGGATGCCTATTTTGAGGAGGTTTATCCATAGTGAAAGTGGAACTAGGTATATCTTCAATCATAGTCTTCTCAACTTTGTTGGTCAATGGATCATCCGTGTTACCAGGAATATTATCAATCTTTGGCTTAGTTGAAGCAAGAAGAAGGGCATCAATATTAAAATCGGTAGGGCTGTCATTGTTAGCCTACTATGAAGTGCTCAAGATCTCATTCTAAGATGCATGAACTTAGTTTGATCTGTTGTTAGATCTGGGGTGCTCAAGATCTCATTCCAATCATTTGAAGTGATACTTGAACATCCTTTATCCATGGTGGATATCGGTTCAGTTGTGACTTTTGAGGTTGGAGGGATAACACTTGATTCGCAAAGCTTAGACACTATGGTAGAGGCCGTATAATGTTCTAGTGTAGAAGAAGGAGGTTTTGAAGTGACTTGTGAGTGTGTTGTAGTGGGCTCCAAGGGACATTGTTTAGTACTAACACCATCCTTTTGATAGGGTGGGGTTATATTATCTGCAGAATCCTCATGAGTGTGTGCTCATGATTTGGAAACTCTAATGGGTGCATCGGAAGAGTGGATATGATGGGTAGGTAGAGACCCAGAGTTAGGTCTATAGCCGATCTATGAATACATTTGAGTTAATCTACTGGTTTAGGTTCTCTTTTAGGATTTAGGTTTATAGGGTGATTTTCTTCCTTTTCTTGGGAATAATTTTTTCTTAAAGCTAATGTGGAAATCATATTTATTATGAGGTGAATCAGAAGTAACAACATCAAGGATATGCTAATCAAGACGTCCAATAGGTCCAAAATATGATTAATTTGGTAACCTATATATTTTTAACAGCTTTGAGAGTACAATATACACTAAGGTGTCCGAGGCAAATGGGATGGCTTCATGACGTTCGAAATATAGTTTTTGCATAGTCAGATCCTAGAATCTTTGACTTAAGATTTCGTTCTTCTTCATTCGATCATTAAATTTCGTCAAGTTTGGCCATAAGATTTCTGATAGATCTATGGCATTTGAGGAGCCTGTGAAGATGCTGTAAACCACAATTAGCCAGTCTTTACTCATGGTATCAGTGCCAAATCATTTTACATACAAGCCTCTTAAAATCATGTGCATTAGTATCATCCAGATGCTAGGAACACCAAATAAATTGAATTCCTTTCCCTATAATTTTCCCTTGTAACTGATTTCAGAAATAAAATATTGAAATTCATCAGCAGTAGGCTAGTCGACCTAGAATTACTTTGGGTTTGGATAAACCACAATTGCATGAAAAAAGGTTTTGTTACGAACAAGAACAATGTGATCATTTGTAATCATGAATTCAATAACACATTCATTGATTTTCATCTGTTGAAAGGCTTTGTAAAAGAGACTAAGAGGTAAATTAGGATTAGGGATTTTGGTAAGTAGAATGTAGATGAAGACAAGCGATGAATTCCACCATGAAACCAACAGATTCATCGTAATCCATGGCGGCGAGTGAAAAAAGTTGTGTGGTTTCTCTTAGGATCGGTTCAGTGGAGAACGATAATGTAGATCCCTTCGACGACTTATTATAGGCAAAGGTTTTGGAAATTTTGGAAACCATTGATGAAGGATAAAAGAATATGAAGAGCAGAGTATAAAATAAGAAATCTAGGGAAGTTGATAGACAAAAAGCATAAAGAGGGTAGGGATGGATTCAAAATCCTTTTATCAGTAACATGTTTTGGGTTGGGTCCAAGAGAAAAATGAGGACAACCAACATTGAAACGGGTTAGCATGTAATACCTGGGTTAGAAAAACCTTTCTATGTCACAATTAATCCCATGAGATAAGACATGTGTTTGTTTATAAAGAGGAACTATCAATTCACATTTACAAGACACTTATTCATTTATTGGAACATGTGCCAAATTATGTTTGTTGGAATTAAAGGATAATAACTATTCTGTAAACATTTGGGCATTTCGGAAAGATAGTTAATAAAATCCTTGAATATCACATTTATTGTTTATTAAAGAAGAATCTCAGGATTGAAGAATTTCACGATGCCTTTATATAAGATGTTTCAGGGAAGTAGAAAATCAGTGAGTAGTATTTGATATTGATTCGAGAAGTCGCACAACATCAAGAATGGATATCATAGACAAAAGTATCATGGAAGATCTTAGATAAACTTTGAAAGAGACACTAAAAAATATTTGAGAGCTAAAGGACTAGAGTTCGGAAGATAAATAAAATTAAATCACATTACCAACCCGGATTTGAATTATGAGGTAGGTTTAACATGGAGATTTTGGATGGTAAAATTTCTCAAAATCTCTGACTATGTGATTTGGAGCAAAACTTTAGAATGGAGATACAACCTGAAAGATCTTAATACTAAAAGAAAGGTTCAACATGAAGAAATATTATGATCCTTTATTTTCTAAGGAGAAACAATTCTAAAATGAAAAAAAAAATTCCTTGGAATTATTTAACTTTCCCAATTTTCCATCAGGGTGTACAGGCATCATGGAAGAATTAAGGATCATGTATCATCTTTCTTAATTTTTTTGGAGAGCTATTAAATTTAGTTTTGCCTATTTCCTTAGTAAATACATCATCAATTTCATTTCATATGGAACACAAATGAGGCTAATGTTACCTTTCGAAACATGATCTTAAATAAAATGGTACCGAATATAGATGTCTTTGGTCATGGAGTGCTGAATCGGATTATGAGAGACCGTATAGCACTTTGAGAATCACAGTGGATCAATATCTATTGGAATTGATAAACATTATCTAAAAGTTGATATTTCATTCATAGAACTTGAGAGGTGCAACTTGCAGAATCCATCTATTCCGCTTCGACTGTTGAAAGAGTTGTGTAGTTTTATTTCTTAGATGACCAGATAACCAATCATCGACACAAAAACTGACAACTATTGGATGTACTTTTCCTATCAAGTTAAAGTCCTTCTTAGTTTTAGTTTGAATAAGCTTGCAGCAAAAAGCTTTCAATTGTTGTGTATCAAATTTTGAGGCTCTTTGTTCCTTTAAGATATCAAATGATTTGCTTTATAGCCATAAGGTGAAACATATTCAGATTAACATGAGATCTAGTACATAAACATGTAGATAACATGATATCAAGATGAGTTGTAGTAAGTTATAGCACCGATCCAGTCATTCTCCTATATTTCTTCTAATCAACGGCTTCAGCAGATGGGTCCGAGAAGATCTTGTTGATGGGTTTCAAAGGTTTAAAAAACCTTATTTTGGTGGAAAAACTTAACTCCTAAGCTCACATGCAACCTAAAGGATCTATGTTCTCACTATGATTTGCAACGAACAATTAATATCAAGAACCATAAGAGTACATTGCAATTTTCGAAATTATGTAAAGGATATTAGAAATTACTTACATTTGGTTTATTATAGAAAATAAACTAGGATTCTTTCTTGATTCGACTTTAGAAAGCAAGCACCAAAAGTCTCGTGCATCTAATGGCTTGCACCCAAATGCTAGCAATTCGAAGCTAAAGAAAAGAGAGGAGGACAAGGAAAAGTTTTAGCTCTAATGCTCTTAGAGAAGGTGATGCCAAAATTCTAAACCCTTTGGGGTTTATATAGGCGTTATGAAGGTTGTAAATTAGAGAATTTCCCTTTTAGATAACCCTTATTGTCACCTCCCTAAACCAAGATGGAAGAAACGTCTGGGGGTAGGTGCCTATAATGTACAGTGTCATAACAATTAAGTATAAATGATCAAAACAATAAAACCAACATATATATATATATATATATATATATATATATATATATATATATAATTGAAATAGTTACATCATTTGTATGCATCACATGTTTCAAAAGACAATTATAATATTTTGTCAAAAGATTTTTTGTAGACCTCTTAACGTCTCATCTTCAAAAGCCAATGGTCACCTGCTTTACTGATCCCCTTAGAATATAAGTTGTTTGAAAGTGTGTTAACAATTAAGTTGGTGAGTTCATAAGCATTTGTAATATGTAAACCTCTCTTTGTAAAGTAATAGTGTTTGTCTTACAAGAAAATCCTATATTTTCCATAATATCTACTGTAATCTTAAATGTACCAAGACTGTCATGAACAAGTATTTTCCATACTCAAAATAGTATTACACAGTTTTAATTATTTATATAAAACCGTTTGAAGAAATGCTTTTACGTAAACTAAAAGAGTCATTGTTTTATGTGATTTTTTTAAGCGTACTGATGACAAATGTTGGTCTGTCGCAACATTCTTTAGGCGCCGGAATGTTATGACGTTTGTCACCCCATACCTACTCGTCTAACTGCGGCTAATATTTTAGGTGTGGGATTATCAGTCCCATAAGATATGTACAAAAGTATGACGCTCTCCCTCTAGGAGACTATGCTTATAAAACAAGAGTTCCGTTTGTACTTTGTAGTGTACCATGAATACTATGTCTTACAAAGTTGTTCAACGAGTTTACTTGTTTTTGTACTGAAAATGTTTGTATATGTAAGTATCCCCATGGTCAGGATGATAATGAAAACAACGTAATATAATTATATAGGAAATTATATAATTATTCCCTTTGCTCAATGGGTTACGAAGGGGTAAAGTTTTGTAAGTCGTATGTATATCGTTTATCATAGAAACCAAGTCGTACTCATATATATATATATATATATATATATATATATATATATATATATATATTATAAAGATAAGTATTTTCTATTGGTTTTTCACATCGTTACGTTTTTACCAAAACTTTGCCGAGAATAATATACAGATTTGATAGTAAAGTCATTTCACTTATTTATCACTTTTCTTAAAAATAGTAATTAAACGTATTTGAATGTTTACGTTATGAAAGTAATTTTCTTTTGTGTTACTTGTATCCCCCTCTTAAATACATAGGAAAACATTGTAAAAATATAGGGGTATGAACTAACCTTGAGTGTGATCGTGGTTAGATAACGGGATAGAAACGGTGACTTTGAGTGAGAATAAGGGAAGAATGTTGTAATCCTAATTGTTTTAAACTTGTAATAATGTGTGATTAAGATGATAATAATCATGAGATGTTTGCAAAAAAATCTAGAGTTATATAGGAACTTACCAAAATACTAAGGAATAATATGGATCATAAAGCTTCCTGGGAAAATGTTTGTGTAGAACA